TCAATTCCAGATCTATTATTTGGTTAAGTATGTGACCTTATAAAAGTTACCTCTCTCAAAGCTTGTTTCCTCAACTACAGTATCTGGAAAAATACTAGTATCTACTTCAAAGCAATTTTGTAAAAGTATAAAGTGTTTGATATACAGAAAGTTGTTGATCGATATTACTTTTAATTTCTCTTATTCTTCTCTATTCTTTCTTCTTTTCATGGCACTTCTCATCTTCTAAGATACTGTATATCTATTTACTTATTATTATTATTTATTGTCTGCCTCATCCCACCAAAACGTAAGCTCCACAAGGACAAGTGTTATTGCCTACTTTATTCAATGTATCCTAAATAGTGCCTGGCACTGGAGTGCTCAAAAAACATTTATTGAATGAATGACTGGATGAGTACTAAGAGAATTACTATTAATAATAATACATATATTACTACTACTTTTAATTATTGCTAGATCTTTCCATGCTAAATCACGCTATAGACTCTTCTGAAAAGTCAAATATATGTTTTGTGACACTGGATATCATACAAGTTCTTTAAGAAAGAATGACATTATCTTTTTCACCCAAAAGTTGGGCTAATTGAAAATAAAAAGAAGAAAATTAAAAATTTTATATGATATTAAAATTTAAAAATATATATATATATAAAAAGAAAGAATGACATTTATTTATTTGATTGTAAAATGAGAGAGTGAAATAAAATAGTCTCTTGGGTCCCACCTACAAAAAAAACCCAACCAAACAAACAACAAAACTTTGATTCTACAATCCAAGAAAATACAAAGGCACATTTACAGAAAATTACACATCAATTTCCATAAAATAGGATGTCCTTCCAGAAATTTAAAAGTTTACATTAGTAAAATGCACAATTGCAAAGAATTAAACTTAAAACGTATGTATACAGAATGCAACTGGGGGCGGGACAAGGAGAGAAACAGGCACACATAGGTTCTGTCAGCACTAAATACATAGCAACAGCAAAATGCATTTATTCTGAGTATCTATTAATCAGAAATAGGAAGAGATATATTTGCCCCTGAATTAGTAAAATGTAGATAATCATAATTTTATAAAAAAACATATCAAAAAGTAAAATATAGTCAATATATCCACTTGGATCTGTATATCATTGTTGCTTTTGTTCTAAGTAGTTGAATCTGTCAACTATGCTGCTGATCTAGCATCAAGCTGTCCTTTTTGACAATGTCAATGACTCTTGACCCTTTATCACTTTTATATGGTCAGTTTGTGTCCTTGCTATATTGAACAAGAGGCAGGACACCAAAGTATGACCTTCAGAATAATAGAAGGACTTTCTTAAAGGCATACATGCCCATTTGTGAATGAAACCCTGCCAAAATTTGTTTCAGCCTGGAATCAGGGGAAGGTTGTTTTAAAATGCAACATTTAGAAGATGTATCACTTCATCCTCAATCAGAATTCCATACTTTACCAGGATGAAAGACACATAAAGGAAAATAAGTCACATAAAAGGTCAACCTTTAAAAAATTAGATTATGATTCATCAAAAATGTTTTCTCTCAAGGTCAGGAGTTCAAAACCAGCCTGAGCAAGAGCGAGACCCCGTCTCTACTATAAATAAAAAGAAATTAATTGGCCAACTGATATGTATATAAAAAAATTAGCCGGGCATGGTGGCGCATGCCTGTAGTCCCAGCTACCCGGGAGGCTGAGGCAGAAGGATCTCTCGAGCCCAGGAGTTTGAGGTTGCTGTGAGCTAGGCTGACGCCACGGCACTCACTCTAGCTTGGACAACAAAGCGAGACTCTGTCTCAAAAAAAAAAAAAATGTTTTCTATGAATATTGGGTTTTAGTGAGATTTACTCCACTAATAGGATTATAACCAATTAATATCATTAAGAAAATAAAAATACATTATTGATAAACACTGATTATATCTATATAGCTTTTAAGTTATAATGCTAAAAATACAAGTAAAAGCAAAAACATGTATAGAGTGATAGTCTTGTGACTCTGAAATTATAATCTAAAAATAATCTTAATACTATTATTTTTAAAGAAAATATTGTTGAAACATAGAGTATTAATTATACAGCATTTAAATATATAGAGTGTTATAAAACCTGAAACAATTCCTTGAAAAATACATTTTCTTTGCATACTGTACAATATAAAAAATGTGGAATAGGCTTTAATATTTTTCTACATCAAAACAATATTAACCCACCAAAATGGCCAATATAGCTATGATATTTAATTTAAAACATGTGGTTAAAGAAAAGAATTTGATGAACCTAAAGATAGAATGCTAAGTAACACCAAGTATGTGTGTTGACCAAGGCACATTGGCATTACTTTGTGGAGCAGATCAATAGATATTAGCTTTAAAAAGAGAGAGATAGAAAGAAGCTGCAGCATATTTTTTAAATGACAGGGTGAAGGTTTAAATTGTCTCAATCAAGACCCAATTTTTTTCTCCTAGTTTTTCCAGCTGTTCTCTTCCAGTTAAGACTCTTCATTTCAAATAAATTTAATTAGTTCCAATTGATCACGGCCAACACTTACACAGCTTTATCCATGCTTCTTTAGTTTTATAAGGCAAACACTAACAAAGGCTGCTAGGCTCAGATTCTAGTGTCATAAGGCAGCATTCAAACCTCATTCATTTGCACCCAAAAGAAAAACTTCAAAAATGATTATGCTGTCTTTTGTGAAAGCACTAAATTATACTTCCCATTTCAACTGTCATCTTGCTCAGATTGTTTCTAAGAATTAAGTCCCAGGCTACTATAATAAAAGTAATACAACTTTACACATTAGCCTAACTATAGCTTCCAAATAAGAATTCACTCAAAATATAGGCAAATATCTGCTATGATATAGTTTCTCCTCATTTTATAAAGAGACATTAGAACAATTGCTTTAAAATAACTGGAAAAATTATTTCAATGACTAAATTGGCCAGCGTTACTTTATGTAGTACTGGTACTCAACAATGCTGGTTACCCCAAAATAAGATTACTGTGCTTAAAACAGGTTTCTCTCAATGCATCTACCATATTTTTCATAATGCAATTTATATAGGATTCTAGTCAATAAAAAGAAATATGGTTTTCTTCTAAACCCTCACAAAAATCTATACCACAGCTTAATCAAGTCACACAATCTAAAGGTAACCTGAACGATCTACAGACTGCAGCATGCTAGTTGCTTTGACAACATGTTAAGGAAGCCTTTTTTAGTTATTTAAATCCTCTGGATATTGAACATTCTTGCCTCTAGTACCCATGGCATGAAATAAATAAATCAACTGATAAAAGCCATTCGTCTCATGTTTGACCAAACTCCTTACACAGATTAAAATATAGTATATGTAGTATTAATTGACTCTCCAAACTAGATTTGCATTTTTAAGCTTCATGATTTTGTTAAAAATAAAAAAGTCATATGCTATAATGACTTTGGTAGTGAATAATTCAAAATTTCAATGTACTGATTTAATAATGCTTTCTTGCCTGCTCAAAAATTCAGCTTTTATTCTAGAATGCACATTGAGTTATTCCACTACTATAAAGGCTAATTCTTTTTTGTTATCAATTACACAACTGCTTTTTATAGACCAGAAGGCTTTTAAACTTTACAGGGAACTAAAATATAACAACAAAATATATCTGTAACAGCATAAAAAGCAATGAAACTGAATAAAACAAGAACTAGTTTTAAAATCTGCAAATAAAACAGATTTCCTTTAGTAGCTGCTAAAACAAACTCCATTAACTGTGAAGTACTAAATGACCTTCAGAAAGGTTGGAAGTCACTGAAATTCTTCATATTTAAGTTGGATGATATTTTTCATCAATTAACTTACACATTAAAAAGAATTAAAAAGTAACAAGTAACAGCCACCATTCCTCACTTTTACTAAAAACCAAATGCTACCCAGCTTTGGCAATACTTGGCAGGAGGTTATAGGTTTTTAAATATAGGCTGTGTAAATTTTCAAGGTAGATCATTAGGCTCTCCTAAGGTATTCCCAGTGAAAAAAATTTACAGGCATTCAGGAGGTAACAGCAAAGAACCTGCCAAATAGAGCTTTAAAATAAAGTAAATATTAAATAATAACAAGAACAACTCCCCCCCACTTATCTTTGTTTTTTTTCTCCCTTTTAATTTCTGTTGAAAATTTTACTGATATTTCCAAGGATGCTTCTTTTTAAATTATTGATTACTATTAAGTTAATATTTATTGCTTTACAATAACTATAGATTTTATGGTCAGATTTTAAATTTTAACCATCCACATCAAAAATGAAAGTTTATCATCCTTAATACCGATAAAAATATTTATACTTGGCTGTTTTTATCCTCTGTGCATTCAAAGAAATTGAGCTGAATACATTTTCAGATCCAGTAATTGAAATCGGTTTGAGTACAAAAAGATAGGCCAAATGTAGACAGGGTGTAGGTTTCCTAAAAATTACTTTATGCCTGGTTACATGATAAATAGTACAGATAATAATGTTCAATATCCAAACAAGGTAAATATGTTTAAAAATCACCATTTCTATAGTATAGGTATAAAGAGTATCTGTAAGATCCTTATGCAGGCTGTATTGTATATATTGCTATTATAACTTCACTATTCTTTAGTTTATCTTATAATCGCAAAATCTTTCATAACCTAATGCATATATTCCTCTACGTGATCCAAGGCTTTAGTAATGATCCCGGCCTCTGAATTAAAAGGTCTCCAGAAAACAAGTGCGCAGCTAGCAGATTCATTGTTACAGCCACAATGAGCAAACCTGGACCAAATGAACAGTTTCCACTTCTTTTCACCTCAAGATCAAAAAGGACACTAAAGAGTCTCATAAAACTAAATATACCACCAATACAAGTTTCCATCCTTTCCATCAAATTACTTAATCCCACTAAAAATAACCCAAAAAACGTTTTGCAATATTGAACAAAGCTCCATGCAGATTATGTTAAAGATGCTCGTGCTTACCAGTGGTGATGTCATCGTCAACAAGGTCATGCTCTTCCTCCTGGACTTTGGCTTCAGGCCCTGAGGCTTCCGGAGCCGTGGAGATAGTCTGCATGGCTTCTGCCGTGACTCCAGCTAAAACAAAAGGGAATCGCAAGATTTCATTTAAAAACAATGAAAACTAAGGTGAACCAAAACTTTTAAAGCTTTTTACTTACCAGATGTAAACACTATACATTAAAAAAAATATATATATATACACATATATATATATATGTTCACCAAAACGAGGAAGAGACAAATCAATGAATAAAACATTCATGTTTGTGTATATATGTGCATGGGTACATACTATATTTAGTTTTAACCAAGATCTGGGAAAAATAAACAGGATGTTGAAGTAAATTACGTTTTTATTTGATTCCTTTCAATGTTTTTTTGCTACAGTTACTTTAGTTGATTTAAACAATTAGGCTACAAAGAAGAAAACAAATCTTGAAAGCGAAAGACTATTTTAAAATGTTACTTCTCTTTAATATTAGTTTATTTCTACCTTGGGGATTGGGAGGAAGGATAATGACAAGAGAAGGAGTAAGAGACCTGAAATGCACTGCCCCCCAAAAAGTATAACATCTCCCTCAATGAAGAAATTCAATATGAGGTCAGATAATTATTACACTAAAAGAACTTAACTGAAAGCAGACAGATGAAGTAGTTCACAGGCCAAAACTTTCCATTCTGTAAATCACTTGAGATTTGCCAATTCACACAAATGTGTTCCTTACATACCTATCTTTCCATCTTTATTTTGTATTTTGTTGTCAATTTGCATCTACCACATTATTTTTAATTTGGCAACAGATAGTAGGGTGCATCAATATTTTTTATAGGGTTATCAAAAGCCACTGCTCAATCAAGGTAACAACAAATCTCACCATTAGAAGTTTCTTTCGGAGCTAATTTTAAACCCTTCTAATCAAATCTAAATAAGTACTTCAAGAACTGCCTATCTAGGATCCATTCAAATATTTTAAAAATCAACAACTATAAACATTCAAGGACTTTTTTTCTTCCAAGGTGTATTAATTTAAACATTTCTTTGTGAAATTCAGCCTTGCTGTCTCAGGTTTACGAAAGGCATCAAAAAGGGAAGACTCTTAGTCATTAACCACCATGAATGATCCAGAGATGGACCTAACACTAGGCAGTTCCAAGCCCTAATGATTTGTATTTGGGGAATAGAACACACCATTTCAGCACCACTACTTGTTCAGAGTCACTCTTTAAAAAAAAAACCGTACTAAAGAATGACCCCTGATGGATGGAAAATGACAAAGCCGCCCCTTTACAGAAGAATTCTTACTGTTGGATTTACAAGGTAAATTTTAATATAAAGGAGAAACTTACTAGAAAAATCATATTAAGTTAATTATTTAAGATATTAATAGCTATCAGTAAAATAATTACAAAGAGGAGATAAGGTAAGCATCATGTTCCTAAATAGCGACATTCCTCAAATATAAAATCAAAAATTATTTCATATTAAATCAAAATATAAATCTTTGAAATCTCCCATTCTCGTTTCTTGAGTAAAATTTGATAATTTTTGAAAATGATAGAGAAACAGAGAAAATATTCAACAGTTTGAAGAGTAACAATTATTATTAGTATTGTCCTTTTCTGTAAAATTAAGGAATTCAATAAAAACAAAGCTGGAATGTAGGTAGTAACAAGTTTACGAATCCTTTTACATTCATCTCGTTTAATCAGACAGACAAAGTAATTGCTCAACATAACACAGCTACTAAATTCAGGAACCACAATTGAGATGTAGGTCTTCTGATTTCAAACTCTAATACTGATTTACCATGAAGTTCTTCCAGGGACTAAGTTCCGGGGGGAAGGGTGAGAGGTATCCCAGAACATCACAGCATAACCACAAGAAATCACAGAATCACACAATACTAATCATAAATATTACCAAGCCCTCCGTGGAGTTCCTGTGCTGTGTCAGGTAACCATTCAACTGAGGGCATTCAGTATTTCGAGACAACTTAAAGAGCAAACATGTACAAATCGAAGTAACTGAGATTATTCTGAAAGAGTTCTTTGACAGATACCTTCCAAAACAAAGTAAAGGTTGTAAAATGCTTGGCAGAAAAAAGAAAATACAAAAAAGGAAAAGAAAACTACAGACCAATCTCTCTCATATTGTCTCAAAAATTTATAATAGAATATAAGCAAATAGAATTCAGCAACATCTAAAAAGAATTATACACCATGACCAAGTGGGGTTTATTCAAAGGGTCCGATTTTCCAAATCAATCTAATCCAAAATATTAACAGGCTAAAGAAGAAAATTACTACATGATCATATCAATCATTTGACTTAATTCAACAACCATTCAAAAATTCTAAGAATAAGCCGGCGCGTGGCTCACCTGTAATCTAGCACTCTGGAGGCCGAGGCGGCGGATTGCTCAGGTCAGAAGTTCGAAACTAGCCTGAGCAGAGCAAGATCCGTCTCTACTATAAATAGAAAGAAATTAATTGGCCAACTAATATATATAGAAAATTAGCCGGGCACGGTGGCGCATGCCTGTAGTCCCACCTACTCGGGAGGCTGAGGCAGAAGGATTGCTTGAGCCCAGGATTTTGAGGTTGCTTGGAGCTAGGCTGATGCACAGCACTCACTCTAGCCTGGTCAACAAGTGAGACTCTGTCTCAAAAAAAAAAAAAAAAACCTCTAAGAAAAATAAGAATAGAGGAGAACTTCCTCAACTTGATAAAGAGCATCTACTAAAAACCTACAGCTAACATCAAATTTAATGATGAAAGTATTTTACTGTACAATCAGGAATAAGTCAAAGATATCCACACTCACCACTCTCACTTAACACTGGAAGTTCTACCTATTGAGTTTTACCTAATACAATAAAGCAAGAAAAGGAAATATTATAAAACACATACAGTTTGGAAAGGATGATGTAATTGTCTCTATGTGACGGTTAATTTTAGGTGTCAACTTGATTGGATTAAAGGATACCTAGATAGCTGGTAATTATTATTTCTGGGTATATATCTGTGAGGGTATTTCCTGAGGAGACTGGCCTGTGAGTCGATGGAGTGGGAACGATCTGCCCTCAGTGTGGGTGGGCACCACCCAATGGGCTGAGAACCCAGGCGGAAGTAAAAGTCAGAGGAAAAGTGAATTCGTTCTCTCCCCTAGTGCTGGAACATCCTTCAGCACTTGCCCTTGGACATCAGAACTCCAGGTTCTCCAGCCTCTGGACTCTAGGACTTGTACTCAGCAACTCCTCTAGGTTCTCAGGCCGTTAGCCTCAGACTGAAAGTCAAACAATTGTTTTCTCTAGTTCTGAGGATTTCAGATTGGACTGAGCCCTTCCACTGACTTCCTGGGTCTCCCACTTGTAGATGGCCTATTGTGGGATTTTCCAGCCTCCATAATTGTGTGAGCCAATTCCCCTAATCCCATCTCATCCATCCATCTATGGTATTGGTTCTGTCTCTCGCTTCCCCTCGCCCCACCTACCTATCTACCTATTGTATTGATTCTGTTTTTCCAGAGAACCCTAACACATCCTTTTCAAGGATAAAATAATTGTCTACATGTAAAATCCAGAGAAATCACCAAAATTCTCCCATATACGTGTTCATGGATTGGAAGATTGAGCAAAGGAAAGATATCAATTCTCCTCTAATTGATATACAGATTTAATGTAGTCCCTATCAAAATCCCAGCAAGATTTTTTGTAAATATATACAAAATTATTCTAAAAGTATATTTTAAAAAGCCAAAGGAACTAGAACAATTTCAAAACAGAATAAAGCAGGAAAAAAATCAGTCTGCCCTACTTCAAACTTATTGTATAAATTTATTAGAGCTATATGGCATTGACAGAACCATAAACACGTAGGTTAATATAACAAAATAGAGAACCCAGAAATAGACACACACCAATATGCCCAGCTGATTTTAGAGAGAGGTGCAAAAACAATTCAGTGGAAGAAAGTTAGTTTCTTCAAAACAGTGGCTGGAGCAGTTGGACATCCCTAGGCAAAAAAATGAATCTTGACCTAAGACTCACACCTTATCAAAAAACTAACTCAAAATGGATCATGGACTTAAATATAAAACTCAAAATTATGAAACTTTTAGGAAAAAAATTAGAAGAAAATGTTTGAGATCTAATGTTAGAAACGACACCAAAAGCATAATCCATAAAAGGAAAAACTGGCAAAGTAGACTTTATTAAAATTTTAAAACTTTTGCTCTACTAAAACCCTATTTAAAAGATGAAAAATCAAGCTCCAGACTGAGAGAAAAGATTTACAAATCACATATCCAAGGAATAGTAACTAGACTATATAAGGATCTCTCAAAACTCAACAGTAAACAATTTGGCAGTTCTTCAAAAGGTTAAACATACAGTTATCATATGACCCAGCAATTTCACTACTAGGGAATAAAAACATGTATCCCCACAAAAACTCGTACATGAATGTTCATAGCAGTGTTATTCATAAAAGCCAAAATGCGGAAACAATCTAAATGTCCATCAAATGATATATACATAAATTGTGATATACTCATACAATGAAATATTATATAGCAAATACAATGAAATGAAGTTCTGATACAATCTATGACATGGATTAACATTAAAAACATTATGCTAAGTAAAAGAAGTCAGTTATAAAACATAACATGTTTTATAATTCCATTTACATGAAATGTCTAGAAGAGGCAAATCTATGAAGACATAAAGTAGATGAGATTAGCCTAGAGCTGAGAGGGGTGGAGAGAATGGGGAGTGATGCTAATGTGGACTGGGGGTTTCACTTTGGGGTGATGAAAATGTTCTGAAGTTGATTGTAGTGATGGTTGCACAACTCTTTACATAAGCTAAAAACCCCTGAATTGTAAACTTTCAAGAGTGAATTTAATGGCAAGTGAACTGTATGTCAGTAAAGCTGCTTTTTAAAAAGCTTGCTTTTCTAACATCCCAAAACAACCAAGAGACCTGTATTACTTCTGTATACCCTCCTGGTACTTTTACTGCCATATAGCTAAAGAAAAAGGGAAGAAAAGGAGCTACATAGAACATTTGCAC